CTAAGACTCCAGCGAGCTACCGCTCAAGGTGGCCCCAGGCCCGCCAGGTCTGCGTTACTGGAACCCAGCTGTCTTTCCACCCGGAAGGGCCCTGTAGATTCCTTCGATCCCAAGGAAGCCCTGCTTCAAGCTCTTTCCATTCTTCACCTTAGAAACACCCTTCTCCAGGTCAGCCCTCTCTGCGGTTCCCATAGGCCCCTCACTCAGCAACCTCGGCCTCACTCTTCTAGACAAGAATGACGGAGGGTGGGCAGCCAAAAGCTCTTGCTGGCATCTCAATTAAAGAGCCCTATAAGAATGTAGGAAGTGGGGTTCGTGCCCTCCAGGAGTTTTAATTAGTTAATTAATTAATTTTTTAATAACCTAAGTCTCTTATTCCCCAGGTATAAAGCTCTTTCTTGGGGTGGGGGCACAAGGTGGACAAAGAGGGGAGCAAGGAAGGTGTTTTGTTCTTGGGTTTCTGCAGTCCTCACAGCGGAACGAGACCCTGGGCAGTGAGGCCAGTGTTATTGACAGAGGGGTCGCAAAGTTGGAGGGTCAAAAGTTTACGTGCATGCGTGATCCTGGCGGCCCAGGCGTCTAGCGGCTGGGGCGGGGTGGGGGAGGGGGCTGTATGTGTGAAGAGAGAAGAGAGAGCTTGAGATGCTGGAGGTAAGGCAGGCGAGGGAGCTGGGAGATGTGAGCGGTGGAGGCAGCAGAAGTGGGATAGGGGAAAGGCAGGTATCTGGGGGAGGGGAAACTGAGGAAGGAAGGAACTATTCTGCAATCGCTTTGAGGCTGCTTGTGGAGAGCTGCACAAAAGACAGAGCTCTGGGGCGTGGCGAATCCTCCACGCAATTTTCTCTCCCAAAGATAACCTTTGAGTCACCATATAAAATTTAATTAAAACCTACCCAGCCGCACACATTTAAAAAATCCAATTACCCACACGTCCTTGCAGGACGTTTGGCAGGGCCAAAAGAAGGCTTCCAAGGTGAAGTCTTGATTCTCGCCAACACCAGCCCCACCCTGCTTGCCCTAAAGGGGCCAAACTGCATGTTCCTCTTCCCCTGAACTAGGGGTCCTGTTTTCCCAGACCCCTAGTTCCTAGATTAATTTCAGGTACCGGACTTGAAGACATTGGGCCAGTACTACAGGTTTTTAAAAGTCCCAATCCTCCCCTTTAAATCCTCGTGCTTAAGAACTAGGGCATTGAAAAGTAGTTCTCTCATTCTCTCCCAAGCCTCCATTTGGATGTTCATCCGGGTTCCCTCTCTCCCTTTTTGGAAGAGGGAGGACAAGTGTGATGGAAAAATACTTAATGGTCTCTTGGAGATCTTTGCAACTGCAGTTGAATCAGGCAACCTGAAATGAACCTTCAGTCTATGCATTAAGCTTGGCTCACAAGTGAAATGCTTCCTAGAGACCGTGATTATAACACTAAGGCATATGCCTATTTTGGGTCTTTAGATGACTGTTACATTATGAGATGTCATCACAGTCTCTTCTAAGCATTCCCAATAGGAGGTGAACTGTGGATGTTTGTCCTTCCACAATGGAGATGAGCTGGGGGCTTTTGTAAAGATGACTTTTCAAATAAAGCCAAAGAGTAAAAAAGGGTAACAGCAAATTTCAAGTCAATTTAACCCCAATTCCCCCCCCCCCAGCTAAAGGGTGTATAGAATCCTATTTTTCTTTAGTCCTCAAGTGAAATTCTCTGGGGTTGTCCAGAGAGAAACTCTTGGGTCCCAAGGAGCAGTGGTCATGGCTTCAAGAGGAGAATCCATTTCCTTTGGTTCCCTCTTAGTCTCCTTTGCCTTCACCTCAGATAAAAATGCTGACAAAATTTAGAAATCTGGAATAGACTGGAGTGGACCAAGGTCCCAGGCTAAAAGGATTACAGTAAAGAAAGGGTGAGTTCTGCTACCCCAGACCCAGAGACCCAGACCCAAACCCAGACTCAGACCCAGAATGCTCTAGAGGATGCTACTCCACAGCACTCACCTTAGGCTTGGGTTAACTGAACTAGGTGGAAGGGGAGTCATTTAGCCGACCTCAGCCAGTTGGGGCTGGGGGAGGGCAGAGAAAAGGAAAGATATATTGTAGACATTCCACCAGACCTTTAAAACCTTGGTCACTCTGATAGCGATGGAGGAAGGCATATCAGAATTGCTGAATGAGTGAGAACCGTGTCCTTTAAAATACAAATGAAGGGGTGTTTTGTTTTTAGGAACCATTACAGCCTCTGGAAGCAAGTCCTCAAATTCCCTGCTTTCACCAGAGCAGTATGGCCCCTCTCCCAAAGTTCTCTCTTTCCCGAATGGGATCTGCTGTGGATCAAACTCCCTTCCAGAGAGGTGGAAAAGTTATTTCTGGAATTCTGGAGCCTCTAAAGTTTTGGCAGAAGTGGCAATGTGTCTGGCATTTTGGGGCCCCCAAGTAAAGTAGATGAACAGGGTCTCAGTCTACACAGGCCCTGCCGGTGCAGAGGGTTAGGAAAGAGCCAAAGAAAGGAAACCCTTGGCTCAGGCTGGGTTTTCTGGGGTTCAGATGCCCACTTTCTACCCTTTGGTGCCAGTGCCAGCATAGTTAGTTAATGCTCAGGGCTCAGAAGGGTTCCCTCCCCAAGACCACACGCTCTTGCTCTTAGCCCTGACAAAAATATTGGAATGAAAAATCAAAGCGGGGGCGGGGCCGCCTGAATCGTATTCCAATGGAGACTTTTTTGGGGTAGAGGTTTGGATGGGGGAAAAGAGAAAAGTCAGTTGGAGAGGGTAAGCTGAATCAAATTCCTGCTCTGTCATTTTTCTCCCAAGTAATGACCTGCGCAAAATTCAATATGACCGAGCGAACTGCGTGAGCATATTATAGTAACTGCCTGCTCGTGGGGGAGGCCCGGAGAGGGGTGAACCGCAGGTCACGGCGTCTAAAAATTATTAAAATGTTCGAGAGCCTCGTGACGCGCCTAGCTGTTTAACAAAGACTGCCAAAGTATGAGATTAATACGAAAACTCGCGCTTCAAAAACAAAAACACACCAAAAAAAAAAAAAAAAAAAGTCGTTTTCCGGCCTCTGAGGGGGCCTGTGGTTCCTTAGCCCGCAGCCGTGGTTCGGTTTTCCGGACACACAATAGTGGACAGGAGCGAGCTCAGCTGTTGCTCAGCGGGCCCACGACGGGTCGGCCGGGAGCAGGCGGGGAGCGGCTGGGGGTGAGTACTCTTGCCGGCTCCGGCCCTTGCACAGTTCAGCGCGCTTGGGGTGCCCTGGGCCTGCTGGGGACTAGCCTTAGCTTGGCCCTCTGTTCGGGTTTCTCTTCCTCTCTGCTTCTCTTCCAACTCGCCCATAAAAGGTAGATGCTTTTTCTGGGCCGGGGCACGCCTGCGATGGCGGAGGTGGGGTGGGCTGGACAGCGAGAGGTCACACTAGCAACCTGTGGCTGCCAGGAAAAGGTGGCCAAGTGGTCTTCATAGAACCTAGGAGCACTGGAGAGGTAGCACGGACTGTGCACAAGCCTCTGGCTCGGCTTTTTAATTGTTATGCTTATTGTTGTTGGTATTCTGGGCGTAAATTGGCGAGGCTGTCTTTAGCAGCGGTGAAACCTGTCCTGGGGGTGGCTGATAAATCCTGTCCTCGCCCCTGGCTTCTCCACAGGGAGGGGAGTGTGGGTGGGGGGTTGGTGGGATGGCAGGTGGTGGCTATCCAGTTCTCAGAAGCGAAAGTCTCAGTGATCCCGCCCTAGGTTCAGCCATACTCAGCTTTGCCATCTCTACTCCCATTCCTCTCTCGGTGCTCAGGACACTTGGGCCACATTCCTTGTTAAGTGTAGATTAGGAAAGAGGCCAGCCCAGATGCTCTCCCGATCCACAGATGGGTTAGATTCGTTTGCAAGAGCCGGAGGTATGGGGTAGCAGAGGGGCCTGGTCAGTTGGAGTAGGTCATGGAACCCCTAAATACTTGGTTCTTGCTTGATGCTAGAGAGCTGGTGGGGATCAAAACAACACACCTTTTCTATGGTTGACCAAACTGAACCCTGTCTTTGATGAAGATGAAAACTACAATGTATTTTTTTTTCTCTCCAGTTATGCATGAGTCTGGCCTAGCAAGCAGGGCATTAGGGTTAGAAGCCAAACCCAGAGGCCAATATTACAATGCCTAGATACAGGAGGAAAAAACAACAACAAAAAACAAAAATCCCCCAAACCAGAAACAGAAGCCCGAGATCTCTGGACCCAGTTGCCTGCAGGTCGGATCTCTCCTATGCAACAATGGTTCTTGGTCTGTGCAAGGGTGAGGTTTTGGCTTATGTATGTTCATGAAATTGACAGTGTTCCAATTTATTCAGTAAGGACAAAAGTATTTCTTAAACCTAGGGAACTGAGTGGTGAGGAGGCTTCTGCCAGGCACACTGGTCACAGCTCTCAGGGTTTAAGCTTCAGTTCCTTCTAGCTTAGTTTCTCATTTTTTTTTTTTTTCCAGTTTAGGAAACCAGCAGTTACTGGGAACCTCAGGAAGTTCACTCAGAAACTCTAGAATCCCATTTTGGCCCCACTGCCAGCAACCCAAGCAGGTGGATGGGCCCAGTTAGTGTGCCTCCAGACAGAGAATCTCTGCCTGGGGCTAAGAAGTGGGTAGCGGAGGTCCTCCCCACACCTCTATGGGATTGTTCCCTCATTCCAGCCCCCAGGAGGAATGAGGGGTATGGGAGGTTGGGAGGGGCCCGCGCATCATCTGGCTGCAACTTTTATGGTTCCTCATTGCCCTTCATTCGGAAATGAAGCGCCTTTGATCTTTTTCTCAGGTTGTAAACGGAATTGCCCGTCATTAAATATCCGGGAGCCCCCATCTGCTTGGTCTCCCAGCATTTTTCTTCACAGCTGTTTCTCTCTCTTTTTACCATTCAATTTTTCCAAAAGGACTTTTATTATACCCCTTCACACCCAGCCGCCTCTCTCTGCTCCCTTTGCTTTGGAAAATATCTAGATATGTGTTTGATCACAAACTAAAGACTGTGGGGACAAGGGAGGAGCCAATTTGAGGTTTTGTTTTGTTTTTTTTTTTTTCCTTACAAAAAAAAGTCACAGGGGGAGGGGAGGGACTAAGGGCACCCAGAAAGGCCGGATTCTGACTTCGAGGCAGCCTCAGGATGACCCTTCCTCCTTTTGTACTTAGCTAATGTTTACATCTCATAATTCATGCGCCACCGAAAGTCGCGCGGCAGCCACGAGGTTCGAGTCCCTTTGCCCAATGGCTGCTTTTATTTTTTATTTTTGTTAGGAGAGTTGAAAACCTTGTAATTTTAAGAATGGACCCACAGTGATGTCTTTTGTGCTCCCAGAGATAAAAATTAAAACAAAACGAAATAAAATGAAAGCATTCAAACTACACCCCAAAAGAAGAACTCACCGAAAGTAAGAGAACTGGAAATTTCCTGGGCCAAGAAGACCTGTCTGTCTTCTGTATATACCCTGTAGATCCGAATTTGTGTAAGGAATTTTGTGGTCACAAATTCGTATCTAGGGGAATATGTAGTTGACATAAACACTCCGCTCTTTTTTTTTTCAGAAGAAAAATAGATTATTTTCTAAATGAGGACAATCCAGTGACTGGTTTCAAGAAGACTCCTTCCTTCTCTCCCCCCCCCCCAACTGGTTAGGGAGAAATCTCATCTACCTGAGGTGTCCTCCATGCCTGCCCTTGGACACTTAGGTCCTTATTCACTAAAGAGTTTAATATTGCTGGTGTTTTAAAATTTATTCTTAAGTCCAAACCTACTTATTTTCTCTTAAGGATCTAGGGGGCTTTATTGGAAATCATGGGGGTGGGGGGAGGATTACTGTTGCCTACAGTGTGCAAAGGCAAAGGAAATTTGCTTTTCAAATGGATGCGGAGGTTGCTATTTCATTGGGTTCAGGACAAGACGCCCTGAAAATATGAGGTTGCCATGGGTGTTCTTATGCGTGTGTCGCTGGTGGGGATGTCACAGCGAGGGCTCCTTTCCTTAGATCACAAGGATGTGAAATTTCTCTCGGCCACACAAGCAGAGGCAGCAGCTTGAGCAGCAATTACAACTCTTGGCGCCTCGGTTAGCATTGCTTTGATGAATCTGGAATTAGCAAATTACTACTCAATTTGTTTTCGAAACTTGCAGGTTTTGTTTTATTCCAGCTTCTATCTTTAGTGCGGGAAGTCAAGATGTTTCTCCGAGGTTAGGCCTTTTGGGTCAAAGGGAGGGAGTGGTTAGAAGAGGACAGACTGACGGACACAGCAAAGCTAATAGTGCAACTAAATGCGATTTGGAAGGCGAAGTCTCCCCGAATTAGTGCGTGAATTTCCTATCGATCCGCCCGCGGTTCCATTCATCTCTGACAAGTCCCCTCCGCGCACCCGCCCTCTTGCTCCCGACGCCTCCTCACTCACCTCCTACCCCTCCCCATCTGGCTATAGTGAGAAGCCCCAAGCTCAGTGCCCCTCTAACCTAGTGGGTGCCCCTTTCAAGAAGAAGCCCCCTGGTCCTCCAGTCACTTAACTTCCCACACAGACACCCGGTGCGTGAGCTCCCACTCACCCTGGGGAGGAGATGGGACCCTGTGGAAAAAACAACGATTGGCGGAGGTGAGGTAGGGCACGGAGGCTATACCCGGAGCCCCAACTTCTAAGGGGATGCAGGGATTGTGTTCTGCTCCCCATTCCCCAACAGGCCCTGTAGTCTTAACTGTTTGCTCCATCCTAGCTCTCTCTGTCTCTCTCAGCTGCGGAGAAAGCCAGGCAAGGAGGGGGTCGCCCGGCAGGAGCCCTTTGTAAACCCTGGTGTTGGGTGGGTGGGGAGGGCGAGAGAAGGGGAAATAAACCTCTTTGGCTGGAGTAGGGTCCGGGTGAGCAGATTTCCTTATCCGGGAATCGCAGGCCGGGTGGCCATTGGCTCGGAGGATCACGTGGGCCCCTAACTTTGTTCACTTGACAGTAAGTAGGAGGGCTTTCGGAAACAGGAAAACGAGTCAGGGGTCGGAATAAATTTTAGTATATTTTGTGGGCAATTCCCAGAAATTAATGGCTATGAGTTCCTTTTTGATCAACTCAAACTATGTCGACCCCAAGTTCCCTCCGTGCGAGGAGTATTCACAGAGCGATTACCTACCCAGCGACCACTCGCCTGGGTACTACGCCGGCGGCCAGAGGCGAGAAAGCGGCT